ACAAAAAAACATTAATGTGACAAGTTTTTTGTGTCAGGATTTGTGATCAAGATTTTACATGGAACAGTCCTAGAATTTTAGAACTGAAGGTGATCTTGGAGATAGCTTCATCTTCACAAAGCTGTTAGTAATTGGTAAATTAGCATAATTTACAGCGCTTTAGGGCTTAGCAGTATTAAGATTGAACACAAAGATTGCTTTTCTTGTGTTATTAGACTACTTCTTTTCCAAGATAGAGTGTAAATATGGTGGCCTAATTAGGGGAGGAATCGTGCCAAAGCAATTTGACACCAGCTTGTTCTCCTGTATGATAAATAGAAGAGTTAGGATACAGAGGACATACTGGCTTCAAGGTGAGACTGGGATCAAGGAGTAAAATAGAAGTGTGGGGCTATAAACCAGCTAATTGACAAAGAGAGTTTTTTGTAAAGGTCGAAGTAAGTTTTAGGCCGAGGAACTTTTAGTAAAAACACCACAATAGAATTTCGCCCTTTGTAAATCGAAGAGCACAGTGTATCTGACTGAGATTTTGCTCTTGTCCTACAGTGAAAAAGGCAATACTGTTCCTGGATATGATTTTTTGGTGAACTCTGTCTGGCCAGAGATAGTACGAGGATTAGAAGAAAAGTTGCCTTCTCTTTTTAATCCTGGGAATCCTGATGCATTTCACGAGGTACCTTTTCCTCCATCATCTTGATTCTTGAAGATATTAACCAGAGGCTTGAGACTAATCATGTTTTCTGCATAGTCTTGGTTCTGTGGTTTTTTAAAAAATAAAAATTTGAGTTCGTGAGTGAGCATTTACTTAAAAATTACTTCCTCCAAGTAATAGTCTCTGATACTTTTGGAAATAAATACTTTAATTTGAGAATGTGTAGTAAAATCCAGTCTAAACACCGTTGTGACTAGATACATATGTTATTCTCTCACTTTAAAAAAAAAGATCCTAAAGATCATTAAAAACCAGTCTCCTTGCAGTTGTTTTCCATGAAAAGTTAGGTTTGCAGATCTGTACTGTATAATGTTTAAGGAAAACAAAAGGTATTGATTGGATTGCAAAATCCTTATTAATTTTTAAAGTGTAGAGAGGCAGACAGTAAGTGTGAACCTGGGGCCTGGTCGACTTCAAAAACAGGTAAGACAACAAATTTGGAGCTTTATTATTCCAGAAATACCACTTCTTCTCTTGACTCATTGTGTGATGTTAACAGTATGTTGAACAATATGATCACTTGGTGTCACTTTCAGTAAATTGTGTGACAGTGATCTTTATGATTTTAAAAAATAGGGCTTTTAAAAATAGGTACTGTAAGCAGACTGAAATAGCGGTCTTAGGCATGAACCATTTAAGACCCTTTACGTTTTGCTGTACTCGAGAGAATTGTACTGATCACATTAGGCTCAGGAGATGTTTCAGCTCAGAAATGACATTTTCTCATAGCACTTTGATTTTAGAATTCTAAACCAGTACTTAATGTTGGTGGGTTTATTTCGAGCAAGCATAGCATCTGTCAGTTTCTTTCAAAAAATGCTTTCAGCTTTTAGCATTGCTGTGACATGCTTCTTGTGAAGAGAGAAACATTTTTGTATTTGATTCTTTAAGTCTGTGACTAGAAATCCAGAGTCCAGCCTTTTGCTAAAAAATGCAAAATAAAGCGTGGACACACAAAAAACCATTAATGTGACAAGTTTTTTGTGTCAGGATTTGTGATCAAGATTTTACATGGAACAGTCCTAGAATTTTAGAACTGAAGGTGATCAGTGTATGCTAAAGGATTTAGCATCCCATCATGTGCAGAGGTAGAATACGTTTTATCCCAAAAGGATGAATAATACTTTTGTCTCAACTCCACACGCCTAGACCACACTCAGGGGATTCCGTAAGTGTTGCTCAGACCAGTTGAAAGAAATTAAAAACGTGTAGTATTGAGTGCACTACAATTCTGGCCTACACACAGACTTCAGCATATTTAGGTGAATGGTTTGGTGAGCCAGAATTGAGCCCCTCTTAATTAAGAAGTATATGGAAGGTCCACACAGGTTCTCCTTAGAGCCTGGGCCCTCAGGGCCTAGAGTACCCACAAGGGAATGCGCATTTCACAGTATCTGCGGTTTTGCTCTACTCACTGACCACGTTTCTGTGTCCTCTATTAGCTTTGTCTTTGGGTAAGTTCTCTCTGAGCCTAAACGGAAGAGGAAACGTCATCCTTAAAATACTAGCAGTAGTTACCTGGTAGGGTAGTTTTGTGGGTGAAATTAAATAGTACAGTTTTAAGCACAGCACACAGGTGGTGAATGCTGAGTAAGTTTCAGCCTCTGCTCTTCATGGTGGTGTGAGCCCCCCCCATCAGCTTTCGTGCAGTTCCGTCTGTAGAAATGACGTGATTTGATTCTTTCCTTTTAAAAATGTTCTACTTCTCCTTCTTCTGGAGCAGCAGTGAAAATGATACCACTTTAATCTACAGTCTCTTCCAGTTCCAAGGGACTAGGTTAGGGATTCCCTAGACTATGAGAGAGCTGTCGTTTACAGAGCACGGGGTTTCCAGGTGGGCTTGTCACTTAAGACCTTGGGCAGGTCACCGAACCACTTTGGGCATGACCTGATCTTCAAGTCAGGACCTGGGAAGGACGATCTCTTCAGGTCCCTATCAGCTCTGGAAATGGAGTCCAAGTGTTCACCTTCTTTATCTTGATTACAGCTTTCCCTGTATGTTCCCTTCCCTGGTTAGTTTGCTTACAGTGAAAATTCCACCTGTTTGTTCTTTCTTTAGAAATACACCATAAGTATGGATTTTGTGAGAGCATTTGAACAGCAATGTGGATCACAGGCCAGTGTGAGAAGATTAAGAGCACATCCTGCCTATCACAGCTTCAATAATAAGTGGAATTTACCTGTTTATTTTCAAATAAGGTCAGTGATTTATTTCCTCCCCCCACCTCCAGTCTTCTGAAGTGGAATTTGAATACCAATTCAGGGTGTTGCTCCACTTAACAGCCCTTTCTTTGAGATCATTGTACCACTCCTTGGGAAGCAGAATCTAAAATGGAAACGTGCAAGAAGTGTCTTGATTGCCAAAGTTCTGGCTTGCACGACAGAAAAATAATTTCATAATTAGAGGGCTGAGAACACCAGCCTCGGACTGAGGTGGACATCAGGCCCAGCTCCATCCCCCCCAGCTCCACGCACACGACTAGTATGTCCTCATCCATCACACAGAGGCAGACAGGAGGGTCTCTGGAGCAGCACACTCCTTCCCTTTTCCCCTTCTCACCACCTGCCTCTGTCAAACAGCGGACCCGGCCCACATCTGTTGTTGGCTTCTCTGGACAGTTCCTTCCCCCAGAGAGAGTAGGGAGAAGCGTAGCCTTAAGTATGCTTTATATCTGGTTCCATCAATCAGTTTATGAGAATCCTAGTTATTATTTTGGCTTTTCTTTATAATCTTTGATATTTGTTCTCTCTGTTCTGGAAAATGGTGACGCTTCTAACAGATGTCATGATGATAGCACTTACGTAAATAAGGCTTCTATAAACTATTTGGGGAAATTTGGGATAAACTCTTAGCAACGTATGTTCTGCTAGAAAAATAGATGAGATCAGGCATTTTAGCAGAGTTTCTTGAATGAGGTCATGGTAAGTTCCTTCACAGAATGACATTAACTAGAGTGTTTTAGATAGAATGGTCTGTAAAGAGTCGTAGGCTTTTTGTTTAAATCGCTGAGTGCTTTCATTATGATGCAGTCCTTTTCCCTGAAGTTCTGAGGGAAAATCACAGGGAAATATATTAAGGATTCGGTACCTTGATTATAATTGCTTGCCGTGATTGAGAATGTATATAATCATCTTCTGATAATGAAATCACAGTTATCAGAACGTTAGGGAGATGCCCTTTCTCATCTACACTGTGTTTTATGCTTAATTTGCCAAGGTCACATCACTGCGTAGCTTGTCTCTGAGTAGGAAATAAAGGATTTGTTCATCTAAGGTATTCATGGACCACACTGGAAGTAGTTGTTACAGGATAATCAAGATCAAGCCAGGGCAAGAAGCCCTTTTGATTCAGGGGCAGAATTTAAAATAGTGAAGCATTATGTCACAGTGTCAGACTGCAGTAGAGAAGAGATGTCCACGTTTTACCATTTCTTCTGTAGTCCGTGTTTTAAGTTAGATTGCTTTAGACGCCCAGGACATCACATCACATCATCCTGGCTACTGCCTCCAAACTCTCTTTCTAGTCGTTCCCCCAGATCCCGTGACCCCACACGTGTCGATCTGGCACTGTCACCCCACCTCCTGGATCCGCCCTCCTGGAGATCCAGGGGCTGTTTCAGCCAAGCTCGGGGCCGATCCAGGCTGGGCCCCCCAGCAACAGCACAGCCTGCCTTCAGTTGGTTCTCACGGGGCTGGCAACTGAGCTGAAACTATGTTGAAAGTCAGCCAGTTCCCTAAAAGATTTTGTACCTTCACCAGATTTTAACATTAAGCATTCAAAGGGATTGGTTAACTTTTCTTTGTAAACTGTCTTACTTAAAATTTGTGAAATTTTTAAAAATGACGTTTGAGTTACAAAGTGTGGAGCTTGTATTCGATATGTTTGTTTTTCCATTTTAAAAATAAATTCAAGTAATACTTTGTAGGACTGTTCTGTTGATTTTTTGCCAGGTATCGAATTGTTTACTCTGAGGGATGACAGAAAGTTCCACAAACATGACTAGGGTCAGAGTTGTATTGTTATCTGATTCCCTTCAGGGTCACTTAAAGGAAGCTAAAAGCCAGTGGGGTGGTATGCTTTGACATGTTTATAGGGAGAAATATTCATATTGCACCACTCTTGGGAACAGGTTTATGCTCCTGGTCTGACCATAGGCCTGCATCCCCATCATCTTAGGAAAAAAGGTAGCACTCCCAGCCAGCACCTTCTGGGAGTACCCCATACTGTTGTACTTGTACCCCCATACTGTTCCTGATACCCTGCTGGGGCTGCCTTTCACTCGTTCTTAAAGGTGTATTGCAAAGTAGCTTTAGGACTTAGTTTCTCATAGGAAGAAAATAAATGAAAATATGACCCAAATCGTGTCAAATTGTCATAAGCCAGTGGCTACCTAGAAACTGGTGTTAGCCCCTTAAATGCCAGAGGTGAAGTTGTAGATCCTTTTTAACTGAAATCTTTCTAGAACATTACATACTCCCAGAACGTTCACGGTATATACTGTATTTGGTACAGGCTGAACATAGTATATCTCCTCCTTAATGATGTGGAGTCTCTATGGCATTGACACACTTTCCCTTTACCCTCAAGTGTGCGTGGACACAAAGTAGAGATGTGTAGAGATGCGGCCTGCGACGTTTCTGATCCTGCCGAGCAGAGGGGGTGTCTCATTGCCGCATCGGTTTTACATAAGTGCTTTTTGGATGCTTGCAGACCTGTAGCATGCATGGAGGAATGTGTCCAGAGACCCTCCCCGAGCCCAAATTTAAGAATTTAGAAACGTTTTATTTGGGGTTTGCCCTTGTTACAAATATTCTGGTAAGAGCAGAATGGCATCACATGTCCACGTGCAAACTACAGCACGGCTTCTCAAGTTCCACCAAAGTCACCTCTCACTTTTTGCTGTTTTGCAAAAAGAACTGTAACCTGTCCCTTCAATCCTGGAAGTTAGCTGCCCAGCAAAGCTGCGCGAGGGGCTGGTGCTGGGCTCCTGGCTGGGGAGGCACAGCTCTGTCAAGTGACCTGGGCAGTTGTACTTTCACGGGTCTTCCCACTTGGTCGCACAGGCAAAGGGCTGTGTGAAGGCGGCGAGATGCCAGGGGTCCTGCTGTGTTTGGTTCTGGTACCTTCTCACACCTTCTCTGGTGCATTCTCGTTGTTAGCATAAATGTACACATCATTTTGTGTCCTCTGTCTTTCCTTACTACTAAATTATATTTGCTATTACTGCTGTGTAGCTTCAAGCCAACCTCTTTCCATACCACGTTCTAGAATGAATGTGCCACACGTTACGTAACCATTGCCTTACTCAGGACCGTGGAGCTGGCTTCTGGGTTTTCCCAGCTGTACACAGTGCTGGGTTAGCTCTCAGGCCTTTTCCCCATCAGAGCTTACTCTGTATTTTGTATAGATTTTGGAAAAAGTGATTTGAGGGACCTGAGGCTGAGACCTGGGGCCGGTGTGCTCTCCCCACTGCAGAGCACCCCTTCCGCCTTCACTGGGCGCAGGGTCACACCGCCCCCTTTAGCTGCCATTCTTGGGCTCGCCTCCTGGGCTCCCTTCTCTTGCCCCACCTTTCTGCCTGTCACATGTTTCCCCCTCCGTGCCCGTCATCGGCAGCTCCGTCTGACGTGCTGTTCTTTTCACCCTTCAGGCAGTTTCCTTCAGCTCCATCTCTGAACTGCTTTTAAAAAGCACACACGTACTATAAATAAACCAAACTGCTCAATTAGGTGAATTAATCCTGAGCGTGTGTCAGAGTCAATTGCCATAGGGAACTGGCAGGTGACAGGAGCATACTGGGAAAGGTACGACAGGGGGAGTTAACACTGCCAGGAACCAGAATGCTCCCTGAGCAGCTAGTTTAAAAAATACACACTTTCGGGGCACCTGGGTGGCTCAGTCGTTAAGTGTCTGCCTTCGGCTCAGATCATGATCCCAGGGTCCTGGGATCGAGCCCCGCATCTGGCTCCCTGCTCCGAGGGAAGCCTGCTTCTCCCTCTCCCACTCCCCCTGCTTATGTTCCCTCTCTCTCTGTGTCTCTCTCTGTCAAATAAGTAAATAAAATCTTTAAAAAAAAAAAAAATACACACTTTCCTGTCACAAAGTCCTAAACATGTACCCGCATCAGTTATTAAAACAGGAGTCGGGGACAGGAGGTCGCGATGGCCAGCGGGCCAGCTGAGACACAGGAGAACTGACCGGAAGCAGGGTGGGCGCCGCAGAGCACGAGCGGCCAGCGGCTACCCTCAGTGGCTTTTCTCAGGCTTGCAAACAAAGATACAGAACTCAGCCTCCCTGTTCCTTAGTTTGGGGACATTTACTCTGCTGTGATAGCGCGAATGGAGACGGAGTGGAGATACCCATAGTCTCGTGGCCGCAAGGGGACGGCACGAGGCCAGGCAGGTGGGACTTGCCGGGCGTGGCTTCTTGATGGCAGCTTAATGGGCAGTTTGTTTAGTTTGAAAAACATGGGGTTAGTCGTGATTGCAGTCAGCTGCAAATAACAGAGAAACCCTCCATAATAGCGCCTGAATCAAGAGAAATGTATTCCTTGTTCAGTTAAAAAAAAAACGTTCGGGAGAATAGGCATTCTAGGGCTGGTTGGGCATCGCTAAGAGCGTCAGACTGAGGGACAAGCGGTGGAGGAAGTCCCTGGTCCTCGGGAAGGAGGGAGAACAGGTAGGGAAGGGCATCTAGCAGCTGCATAAACCCTAACCTGTGCTCTTGTTTTTATCTCAGATTCAGAGAAATTGCAGGATCCTTAGAAGCAGCACTTACAGATGTACTGGAGGACGCTCCAGGTAACTTCCTGAAAGTGATCAATGGCAGGATGTCACTGAGTGAGTGACTGAAGCTCAGCCAGTCACCTAGACCGTCCCATTCTGAGGGTACTTGCACCTTGTCCTGTTATATAGTAGGTTAGACCTTAAAGACCTCACTCAGCCTCTCTTTTTTTTTTTTTTTAAAGAGGCTAAAAGAAATCAGATTTTTATAGAGCTTCATTCTTTGTAGATGTGGTAAAAATAATGGGATGTTGCTGCAGCAGTAAAAAAGAAGGAAATCTTGCCATTTGCAAGGACCTGGATGGACCCAGAGAGTATTATGCTAAGTGAATTAAGTCAGTCAGAGAAAGACAGATACCATATGATTTCATTCATGTGGAATTTAAGAAACAAAACAAGCGAGCAAAGGGAACAAAAGAGACAAACCAAGAAACAGACTCTTAACCGTAGACACCAAACTGATGGTCACAGAGGGGAGGGGGGAAGAGGGAAATAGGTGATGAGGATTAAGAGGACACTTACATGATGAGCACTGAGTAATGTACAGAGTTGTTGAATCACTATTGTACGCCTGAAACCAATACAACACTGTATGTTAACTACACTGGAATTAAAATTAAAAAAATTTTTTTTTTAATATTTTATTTATTTGTCAGAGAGAGGGACAGAGTGAGCACAAGCAGGGGGAGAGGCAGAGGGAGAGGGAGAAGAAGGCTCCCTGCTGAGCAAGGAGCCCAACTTAGGACTCAATCCCAGGACCCCAGGATCATGACCTGAGCTGAAGGCAGATTCTTAACCGACTGAGCCACCCAGGCGTCCCTAAAATAAAATTAAAACAAAAAACAAAACAACAACAACAAAATGCTTTAAGAATATAGGAAACAAACCTTATTTTTGTTTCTGAATAGAACATGGCAGGGGGATTAGCCCCTGGTAATCAGCTCTTTGTATAGCAAACTGGCTTCCATCTGCTTTCATCCCAGGCAGAGGTAAAACATCAGGATGGCCCTTCCCTCCTGGGGGATGATTCACAGCTGGGCTTCCTGCCCCAGGCCTCCAGAGCCCTTGGCCTCCATCCTGGGATAGTGAGCAGGTGACAGTGGTTGGTGGGTTCCAGACATGCTTGCTTTCCTCAACAGCCTCATTAATCTCGTGTCATGTAGTCATTCCCGGTGGCCACTCACATACTGTACGGCTGTTTCTGTAGCCACACAGATCTCTAGGCTGCCCCGGGAGACTTCTGCTCGTTTCTGGGTGGCTAAGTTGGCGTGGACTGTGCGGTTTTAGCCTCAGAGTTGGTCTTCACCTGTCTTTGCCAGACATGGTCATATGTAATTGACTTCCTGTATATGAGTAGTGTGTTCAGGTAGAGGAACAGAAGAGCAGACAAATGAAACAGGACAAATTCAAAACCAAAGTTGAAACCCTCGCAAGTGACCGCCACTCCCTGCTTACGTTTGTTGATGTGGTATAAAATACCTATTAACTGATGATTTCTGAATGCTGTCTGTATTGAATAATTATCAAACACCTGGGAGGGGGAATTGTGTAAAATGAGAAAACGCATTGCCACGGAAGCTGTGGTAGCGTGGCTGGATTATGGCCACTTTCTTCACTCCTGAATTACACGTTGAAAATACTCGAATTGAGCCCTGAGTTGCCTGCGATTCTTTCCGTGTCTGTTTCCTCTTGCAGCTGGCAGTTCGTTTTGCCTCTTGGCTTCGCACAGGACGTGGGGCAGCCTGCAGAGGTGCTGGTCAGACGAGATGTTCTTGCCGGTTCTGGTGCCTCGTCTGTGGAGGCTCACGCTGCAGGTCCTGGCTCGGTACTCCGTGTTCGTCAGTGAGGTGAGGGCTGGCCGCGCCGTTCCTCCGGAGCCGAGCTGTCAGGAGTGCCCGACACCCGGCGCTGAACGTGCTCAAATTTTACAAGGCCCTGTTGTCATGAGAGGTTAACCTGGAGGACGACAGTAGGCACATTTCTCCAGTTCGTAGCCAGTGGTTGTTTCCTTTTCCCTTTGCCTTTACGGCTGTTTACGATCCCATACTCAGCGCTTCGTCTTGTGGGAAAGCGAGCTCGTTTTCCCTCCTCAAAGCCAGAATCTTTGAGGTGCCTCCAAATTAAAACAAAGATGCTCATTTTAATGAAAAGGCATAGAAATAAAAATACACGCATTTTAATCGTATTTGGAAGTTTAAAAAAATCATACGATTGTCGAGATTAAAAGGTAGGAAAATTAATGAACCTTTCTTTCATTTCAAAATATCCTACTTTCTTCCTTGTCAGGTAGTTGAATATATTGAATATCTACATGCCTATGAAGATTTATTAGGTATTGTGCATAAAGCGTTCGTACAGCTCAGTGCTGAGCATGCAGGCAGGCCCCACACCAGCATCTCGGTCTCAGAGAGGCCCTGCCTCCTGGACAGTCTCAGGTGACAGACAGACGTGCAGCTGGTTCATTGTGTGTGATGAGTATGAAAAGAGGCAGGCGTAGGCATGTGTTGGCTCTCATGTATGGGAAGGAATACAGTCCTAGCTGGAGTAGAAGATGCGCATGTCGTCGTGTTGCTGAGTGTTCGAATGGAAGGAGCACAGGCTTTAGTCAGAATCCAACTGAGGTGCTGCCACTTTTATATTTTGTGACCTTGGGAAAATTAGCCCTAGGAGTCCCAAATTCTTCATCTGTAAAATGGGAAAACAGCTTCTATATGTGGTTGTGAGGAATACAGAGATATTTGTTGACCAACCAATTGTTGACAAAAATGTCTGGCAGATCCTGGGAGCTCAGTGGAAGCTAGTTTTCTTTTTCCCTTCTGCCTTCCTCTGCTCAGAAGGGTCTTAGCAGACCACCCTGCCCATCAGGCTGTTTCTGAAGACCACTGTGCAGTCGGTTCTGGCAGCACAGAGGGGTTGGTGAGATTCTTCAGTTAGGTCTGAGTCGGCTGCCTGTTGCATTCTTACCAGCCAGTAATTCTTACGTCTCTAATAAATTATTTTGCCTTGAACATTCATTATTCCATTTTTTTCTTGATGCCAGGGTACTTCTCTCTGGTTTTTCCCTTGTAACAATACATGATACAAGTAACACTTTTCATTTGTATTATTTGAAGCATAATGAGGCTTAGATTTTGGTTTTTTTATTCTTACTAATTATAATGATAAAGTTCCCAAGCACACTTGGTAAATGATTTACCTAATAGAGTTAATGAATTTTTTTTTAATTGTGATGTTCCAGAAATTAATTTTCGTTCAGTTTAGGGACCTATTTTATTTTTGCCAGTTACTTTTTATCACCGGAAGTTAGACACAGGCTTAAGGAGGATAAGTACATGTGGGATTGTAGCTTGACCTCGTTTCTCCTTGTTGTGCTTCCATTGGTAGTAGTGAATACTTTGTAGATAGCTATCACTTTAGGTGAGTTGTTGACCCACAAAAACAAAAGCTCAGAGATACTGCTAGTGGAAAAATAATCATTGAAATGGTTTTTCAGCTTTTACTCAGGCCCATCTCTAATGAAAGTGCCAAGGATATTAAAAAGCCTTTGGTAACTGGTAGCAAAGACCCTTCAGTTACCCAAGGAAATGGTGAAGACCAAGGAAGTGCCCCTTCGGAAACAAAGCCCGTGGTCTCCATTTCCAGTACGCAACTTGTATATGTGGTCGCAGACCTGGACAAGCTTCAGGAGCAGGTAGGCCTGTGTCCCGGAAGAATCCCAGGTGCTCGCTTCAGTGTTGCCACAGAAAGCAGTGCGTGCAAAGATCTGGTGCCATTTGGCCTCGTGGGGCTTAGAATCGTGGGGCCCAAGGGTACCTCGAGAGAACGTGTTTGTCTGCCCTCCGAGGTGTCTCTCTAGCGTCCCCCCCCCACCCAGGTGGGCTCTCTTCCTCCTTACTTACCAGTCGTGTCGCGAACTGTGTGAACCTGGGGCCTCTGCCTCCTTTCTGGTGGCGCTGTCACGAGCCCCGAGCGAGCCATGCTCCACAGTTCGCTAGCTCTGCGTACTCCGTGCACCATGATCGCTAACGGGTTGGAGCTTAATTGTCTCCACCCCACTTGACCACATACTTCGTCAGCTGTACTTTGAAAGTGCTCAACTGTTAAAACTTCTCCCTCTGTTTTCCCTGGATAGGGGTCCATGTTTGGGGCCTTTATCATTAATTAAGAGGGCTTTTTGGGCCGAATTTGTGTTTTGAATGCTCTGGTACTTAATTCTGCTTTCCTCCCGTTTAAATATTTTGTGGTGCTTGAACAAATATGTGTTTTGAGCAAAAACATGGTCTTCATTGTAAGCTTGTTTTGGTAATGGTTTTCATATTCCCTGGGCCTGTTAATAGCTGTGCCCTGGCTGTTTCCCGTGTTGTTGGCTTCTGTTACTGTGAAAGCGTTAGGAGTTTTACTTTCTTCTGATGAAAATGACAGAAAGTTCTGAGTTTAGTTTCATCATTCATTAACAATATTTTAGAGTTTATAGATGCAAATAGAATTGCCTCTTCCTTTGATTTATAAAAAGTAACTGAATATATAAAGTGCATATTTATTTCAGCTTCCAGAACTCTTGGAAACAATCAAGCCAAAACTTGAAATGATTGGCTTTAAGAATTTTTCTTCTATCTCAGGTAAAAATCAATCTTTAGACTCAGCAAATCTTTGGGTAAGAAATAATTTAAAATAAAACTTTAGAGACTGTAGGATATATTTAGCCTTTTTTCTTTAGTTGTAAATCCTTGGTTGTTTCTGTATTCTGTTCTGAGATTTTAACTTCTCTGAGATACTTTGTTTAATTCTAATGATTTGATTTGATTTATTGTCGTACACTCTCTAAATACTATGACACTGTCTAAATTAAGATTCACATCTGGGCCTGAATAAGTGGTTACATTCAATCTTTATGTCTCAACAGCAGCCCTGGAGGACTCCCAGACGTCTCTGGCAGCCTGTGTTCCTGCTTTGAGTAACAGGATCATCCAAGACTTAAGTGAGTCTTGCTTCAGTTACCTGAAAAGTGCCCTGGAGGTCCCTAGGCTTTACCGAAGAACCAATAAGGTCAGCACCACTCACTGAAAAGAATTTTGAGGTGGGGAAATATATAGCAGGAAAGCCACTGAGGGAGGGAGTGGTTGAGCAAGACCCAGAGAGAGGTTCCCAGGGATAGCCTGAGGCCAACCTAACCGGCCTCATCCAAAGAATCTCTGTTTGTGAGAAGGGGATCCCACGGGTGGATGGTTATGGTCAGCTGCTTTGGGAATTGGACTCAGACAGTACAGACTTGTCTGGATTCCTTTGGCCTTAAGGAAAGATAGTTGTTTCAAAAGAAAGCATTTTAATAAAATATCTTTAACTCCTATACTCTTTTGGTCTTTGTATCTTATATTTGAAAAAAATTGAATTTACCTTTGTTCCCTTCATATTGTCCTAGCAAGTACGTGCCTTCTCCCGTTCTTTAACTTGATAAAAAGCTGCATTAAGAATATGGAAAGCATTTATGAGATGGAAAAGCATGCACACACACTGGTGTTCAAAGTCGAATTCTCCTGTTGTCACACTTTAGAGAATGGCAATTTGGGGACTTCATTTTGACCAGTGGTTTAGTTTCCCCTCCTGAACTCTTATTTTCAGGCATTTATATGCTTGTTTCCTTCTTGCTACATGTCACTTAATTTTCCATCGAATTTTCTTTTTTCACAATTGTAGAGTTGGATGTTAGGCAGTTTACTACTAAAATTATTTTCAAGAACTATGAAAATTTCCTAAGATGTTGTGCTGTTTTGGAATGTCCCTGGAGCTCCTGCCACACGTCCCTGGTTTAGGGCAGCCTCTGTGTGTGCGAAGCGTGGGCATTTTGTGTTGCCCTTCCCATCTGCCTCGGCATTCTGGAGGCAGTGAGGGCTGAACTGAGCTGGAGCAAATCTCCTTTGTGGTTATTCTTCTCCTTTTAAAATCTGGGGTGTGCGATAGGATTGCTGCTTCCAGCAAGAGTACTTTGTCTCCTGATTTTCTCTTTCTGGTCTGACTTGAAACTCCCACTTCAAAGTGGGAGAGAGAGACCTATTTTATATTCCCAAATACATTAATTTTCTTTTAGTAACCTACCAACTTTCCCTGTTTGTTCAATACAATGTTAATATATTTACCAGGTGCTTGTCGGTCAGATACTCTCATTTGTTCTTCTGTAAAGTGAATGCCAGTGTCCTTGTTTGCAGATGAAGAAACTAAAACTAAGGAAAGCCAAATTACTCACCCTAGATCCTTGCTTCTCGGTCTGTCGACCTGCAGCATTAGCATCACCTGGTGGGAGCTCGTTAGAAATGCACAGTCTAGAACACAGCTCTCCCCCAACCCCCGTCCGCCCCGGTGCATACTTCAGTGCTTGTTCTCTTTCTCTCTCTGTCTCTGGCTCTAAACACGATTTTCCCTTGCTTTACTCCATTTGACCCCATCTGTTCTCCAGGTATCTTTCTGTAGACAACATTAGTGCTTTTGGGGAGGGAGGGAGTTTGTACGTGTCTCAAAACCAGTACGTCAGTAGCATCTCTTTGAAGTTTGAGTAACTTACTCTGTTCTTTTCTGTTTATTTTTTTAACCCCTACCGTCATTATTCCAGGAGGTGCCAACAACAGCCTCCTCTTATGTGGACAGTGCTCTGAAGCCATTTGACCAGCTTCAGAGTGGGCACAAGGATAAGCTCAAACGGGCAATAATTCAGCAGTGGCTAGAAGGCGCACTTTCTGAGAGCACTCATAAGTAAGTACCTGAGAAGTAGGTTATTCCAGGCGTTCTTAGACAAGCCCTGAGTCAGAGACCACTGAGGCCACCGGAGGGTTGCATGTGGACAAGGTGGTGAGCCCATCAAATAAGGGTGTTGCTGGACGAGTCGGGCGTAGGCACTCAGTCCTTCCTGTGTTGATGGTGGAGCTGTGCTCGCTCCACTCGCCCTGCACCCAGAGCACGTCGGGCCGCCTGCCTCCACCTAGACCGCCTCCCGGCTTCCCCGGGGCTCACACTGGTCCTGTACCTCTCTGGGCACGCCTGGGCTTTGCTGTCCGTGATGCGCCTCCTGCAGGCCTCTTTCTCCAAGTCCAGGCTTACTTTTTCTTTGAAGATCCTTTCTCAGCTGTGACCAAAATGGCTCTGATCACGCCACGTAATCAAAGGCTTGTACCGGTGAGACCACTGCGGTCTAGAAGAGAAAACATACATTCAGAAGTAGCATTACAGTGGATAAGTGTTCCATGTCTAAAACCCTGTAGCCCTTGAAAGTATAAGGAGGTCTTCCAACATCCCTGTGGTTCAGTGTCTCCTCGTTTCTCATTTAATCAACTCTTCCCCAAATGCCAGCATTGAGTTATGTCAAAAGTATATTATTCAATTTTATTATTGAATTTTGTTTATTTTGCAATAGTATTTGATTTATTTCAGTTGCTTCTGAATTAAGTGACATTTGTGGGTTAATTTAGAGCATAACAATGGGTTACAGTATTGCTTTTGTGGGCAAATACATTCCAAGTGCCAAGTAACCAGCTTGTAAACAAAGTTTTGAAATGCAACTCATTTATAATTTGCAAATTTTATTGAGAATATTGTGAAGGTAATTAGTTTTATTTAAAAATCTAAATGCTTCCCTTCTTTAAAAGATGAACTGTTTCTAGAACTGACCATAAATGAATCTGTTACTTGCACTTGGGGAATGAGCTCCAGATGTTCACCCTTCAAGTAAGAAAGACCATTTGGCTCACAATTTCCTCTTAGTGTTCGGGAGTAAAATTGTACACAAAGTCCATGTACATATTTCTTCAGTTCTGAGGGAATGCAGTGCTAGAGAGTCAAGACCCGCCCTTTGGGGGCTCCTGGGTGGCTCAGTCGGTTAAGTACCTGCCTTCGGCTCAGGTCGTGATCCCCAGGTCCTGGATCGAGTCCCACATCGGGCTCCCTGTTCAGCGGGAAGTCTGCTTCTCACTCTTCCTCTGCCCCTCCCCCTGCTTATGCGCGCTCTCTCTCTCTCTGTGTCAAAAAAAAAATAAATCTTAAGAAAAAAAAAACCTATTTCTTTTCAGTCTTAAAAAACATTGATAAAATTACCATGGCTGTTTTTTTTTTAATTGGGAATGAATTTTTGTCTTAAAAGTCTCTTGTTTTGGGCGCCTGGGTGGCTCAGTTGGTTAAGCGACTGCCTTCGGCTCAGGTCATGATCCTGGAGTCCCTGGATCGAGTCCCACATCGGGCTCCCTGCTCG